GCGCGCACTGCGATGCTGGCGGCCCGGGTTCGGATCCCGGGTGCGCATCGAGGCACCACTTCTCCGTTCATCCTGAGGCCGAGTCCCACATACAGCAACCAGAAGGATGTGCAGCTACGACACACAACTATCCACTGGGGATTTGGGGGGAAAAAATAAAAATAAATAAAATCTTTAAAAAAAAAAAAATAAATAAAATAAAATAAAATAAAGGGATAACGGGAGATTGGGGAGTTGGGGGTCTTTGCAAGGTAAGGTCATAATGATGAACTATCCAATATAAGGTAGGCAGTAATTAACTGAGGAGTAGAAATCTTTTGAGCCAGCCCAGGTGGTCTAGTGGTTAAGATTTGGCACTCACACTGTCAGGGCCCAAGTTTGTTTCCCAGTCAGGGAACCATATCACCTATCTGTTGAGTATCATACTTGGCGGCTGCTTGTTGCTGTGATGCTCAAAGTTATGCCAATGGTATTTCAAATACCTTCAGGGTCACCCGTGATGGACAGGTTTCAGCAGAGCTTCCAGACTAGACAGTCTAGGAAGGATCTGGCTACCCACTTCCCAAAAAATTGGCCATGAAAACCTTATGAATATCAGCGAAACATTGTCTGATATAGCGCCAGAAGGGGAGAGGGTGGCGCAAAAAGACCAGGCCGAGTTCAGCTCTGCCATCCACAGAGTCACTAGGAGTCAGAATCTACTTGACGGCAGTTAAGAACAACAAAAATTTTTTGAGCCAAGTGAACTGACAGGCTAGGAGGTAATAGTTGAAGAGCAGGATCTTTGGAATTTTTTCTAGGGCGGAGGTCAACACACTTTTTCTATAAAGGGCCAGAGAGTAAATATTTTAGGGAGGACAAGAGGCAAAATCAAGGGTGTTATGAAATACTTATATAACAAGAGACAAGACAAATTTCCACAAAGTTTTCTGTATAATGGTTGGCTGCAGTTTTTTGTGATACAGGTCTACTCATGAGAAGAATGGAGTTCCTTTTAGGGGGAGGGATGACATTTCTTTTAATTGAGGTTCAGAATGAGTGCACCCTGTCATCAAAATCAGTTGCAGATGTTGATCTCTCAATGCTAATCCATGAGGAGATGTTAGTATTTCTAACATTTCATCTTTGAAAGTGTTATCACACTGATGGGTACTCTCAGATACTGCTATCAGTCCCTCAGTTAGTTTAGTTGAGCATAATCATTGCTTAGAAGACATTTATAGAATTCTATTAGATTCTTCTCTTTGTATTAGACTTTAAATATATTATTACTTTGCAGATTAATTACTTACAGTAGAGAGGTGGAAGCACTTCATTTGCGGAGTTAAATGGATTTTGAAATATATAAATTTTCTTTGCCTTTGCCTTGAGGTCCACAAAATGCTGCTGGGCCTGTAGTTTGAGTTCAGAAAATATATGCATTGTAAACTGGCATGGGAATGGATATCTCCCTTCTTGTTTTCACTTCTGACAGCGTGGGAAGGGCGTAAAGCAGCCTGACATTCTTGTGATGCAGACAGTTGTTTCTTCAAGTCCCGTCTAAGTGGTCGTAGATTATATAAACTCTTCTTAGTAGGAGATTTTTGTTTCTTTAAATAGTTTTTGGTATTACTCATTTTTATATGCAGCATCTAGCATAATTATTGACACAGCGCATATAAAGTATGCAGAAGGCACCCAGTAAACAGTTATTGAATGAATAAGTCTAAAATGTATTCTTTTAAAGCAGCATTGTTTTTCCCATTCCTTTTTATTGTAGGTGAAGAGCGATTATATGTTAGAGATAGCTGATCAAGTGGACCAGGACATTGCTTTGAAGTTGGGTTGTCTAGAAATACGGTAAGATGATAACTGTACACTGAGGTCTTTATTCATCAATGTTTTCATTATTACTATTTTTTGTTTGTTTGGTGAGGAAGATCAGCCCTGAGCTAACATCCGCTGCCAATCCTCCTCTTTTTTCTGAGGAAGATTGGCCCTGGGCTAATATCCATGCCCATCTTCCTCCACTTTATTTGGGATGCCACCACAGCATGGCTTGACAGGCAGTGTGTTGGTGCACGCCCGGGACCGAACCCGTGAACCCCAGGCCGCTGAAGCGGAGCGCGCACAGTTAACCGTTGTGCCACTGGGCCAGCCCCTGTTTTCATTATTTTTGAAAATTATCCAGGTATTTTCCTTTTCCTTATAAAGATTATTGATAAAATTTGATTAAAAATTTGAAAATATTCTGAACTAGGTTGACATTGCTAATTTTGGAAATCTTAGAATCTTTTAAAATGATGTTTCATTATATTTAAAATGAAATGATTTATAAGAGCATAAGTGTGTAAGTAAGTGTAAGATAGTGCTCTCCAATAGAACCTTCTGAGATGATGGAAATATTCTTTATCTGTGTGATCCCATATGCTAGTCATGAGCCAGAGGTACATACTGAGTACTTAAATGTGCCTAGTGCACATTAATTTAAATTTAAATATGAATAGCCACATGTGGCTGGTGACCACTATGTCGGACAACACAGATTTAAAGGGAATGGAAGTCTGAGACTATATTTCTTATTTCTGATAACATTTGTCACCGTTTGTCATATATTATCTTCTATGCCACCATTTTAAATTTTGAATAAAAGAATATTTTACCATTGTCAGGTATAATAGTAATTAAAATTACCTTGGGCTGCTAGTTTAAGATGAGTTGGTTTAACTAGCTAAAATTCGATTATGTATACTTAAAACACTTTGTGATAATTTTCCCCAGAGATACTATTTTTTATATTGCGTAAGGCTGTTAAATAATAGTTCCTACAAGGACCAAAGATTATTAAGTATAACTCTCAACTCTTCATTAAAATTTGTTTTCAGCCTTAATTATATCTCTCTCATTGGTCTCTTCATGTTCCTGCTACCTCTCCCGGCCCTCTTTACAGTTAGCTTAGAAAGCATCCTTGGGCATTCTTTTCCTACTACAAACAGTACTATAATGTATTACCTGGAAAAGGAGTTGGGAAGCATGAGTTCCCATGTGAATGGCAGTGGTTCCTCTCTTGGTTCTAAATGACTTTTTTCCTCCTTCCTGCTCTAGACTCTCCCATGTTATATTTATCCCTCTCTTTTTTATTTTTGTTTGGCGTCAGTGATTCAAGTTTTAGACTCTGAAGGAAAAGCTTGACAAATTAGGCACCCCTCCACACCCTCCCACACCTGAATAGAAAGCAAAAGAACGGGCCGGCCCCGTGGCTTGGTGGTTAAGTGAGCGCGCTCCACTGCTGGCGACCCGGGTTCGGATACCGGGCTCGCACCGACGCGCTGCTTCTCTGGCCATGCTGAGGCCGCGTCCCACATACAGCAACTAGAAGGATGTGCAGCTATGACACACAGCTATCTACTGGGGCTTTGGGGGGAAAAAATAAATAAATAAAATCTTTAAAAAAAAAAAAAAAGCAAAAGAACAAATTAAGTGATCCTTTGGGGCCATTTTTTATTTTTCATCTAAATCCAGTACATTCCTTTTTAAGTAGGCCAAAGGAAAGAAAAACAGTATTTATATTATTACGGACAGATTTGAAACAAAGTCTTGTTGATTGTACATTCTCCTATAAAATTACTTCAGATGATTTGTAATATCCATGTATCCCAAAGCAGCTCAAGCCAAACCTTGTCTTTTGTGAGATACTGTGTACATGCAGAGAGAATCCCACCCACTCGTGGCAGGTTTTGTAGAAAAAGGACTTGGTTCCAGACCTGAAACTGCTTGAACATGTAACTTGGAATAAAAAGATAAAATGCAGGTTGTAAGCATTCGGAATGGTAGGCAGCACTTATTCTCCGGGAGCCTGACAGGTCTGTCGTGTGGACTAGCCTACTTTGATTCCTGTCTGACACAGTTACCCTTAGTGACACCCGCACCTCCACAGGAGGAGGTGTGATGCACACCTGGCCACAGCAGCAGTCTGGTGTCCCTATAGCTGTTCTGCTTGTCTCTGCTCTTTCTTGAGAAAAGATGCAGTACAACAAGTAGTAAATGTAGCTATTCTCTTTTAGAACTGGAATCTTGTTTCTCACATTTATGAAGAGCCAGACCTGCTTCAAATTTTTTTTTTTTTAAAGATTTTATTTATTTATTTTTCCCCTCAAAGCCCCAACGGATAGCTGTATGTCATAGTTGCACAGCCTCTAGTTGCTGTATGTGGGACGCGGCCTCAGCATGGCCCGAGAAGCGGTGGGTCCGGTGCACGCCCGGGATCCAAACCCGGGCCGCCAGCAGCGGAGTGCACTCACCCAACCACTAAGCCACGGGGCCGGCCCCCTGCTTCAAATTAAAAGGGAAAAGGTCTGTGTTAACTGACTTATGCTTTGTTAGGATATAGGAATAATGCTGTGAATCAAATTCTTTCTTTATTCATAATCTATCCAAATGTTTGTGGTTGAGCTGCAAAGTGGTTAGGTACCCCCCTTGCAGTTTTTATTATTTAACAACATAGACGTTCCTTATACATACATATAAATTTATATCTTTCCTGATTTTAGGCGATCATACTGGGAGATGCGGGGCAATGCACTAGAAAAGAAGTCTAACTATGAAGTATTAGAGTAAGTATTACATGTCTAAGCTATACCTGCAAATATTCAGAACTAAATCATTCTTCCAACTGTAGTTTTTATTGGTTTATCTTTACTTAAAATTAAATATTAAATCTGAAACACTACTGTTTCTAAAACTTTTATATCTGGAAAGGGAAAGTTTTATTAAGAAAAGAATTCTTGATGACATTAATTATATAAGCAAACATTTAAATTTGTTGATAAATGTCTTAAAGCCAATAATGTCTATGGTATGTTAACACATACAAAATAAACTTTTTTGTCTCTGTAGATTCAATCATATTTGGATGAAAGTTCTGCTTCTAATTTATATTGAACTCTAGAATTGCCTGTTATTATTTATATTCTCTTTATAAGCTTACTAAGGAATTTTTTTCTTAGTAAAAAAAGTGGAGATATGGGAGTTATTTATTGCTCGTGTATCAGAAAATTTAGAATAACTGAAAACTTTTCCAATAATGAGGTTAATTTGTATATTAGATTGTTATGCCTATAACCTATAAGCCAAGCTAGAGCTTATGTCTTGGGAGACTAGAAGTTCTGCATTTCATCTTTTGAGAATTGATTTAGCAAAAGAGAGTCGATATTTCTTATATCCTAGTAAAACTCAGTTTTATTTTTATTAGCAATGGTGCAACTTTTTGCCGACACTTTCTTTTTCTGACCATATTATTACTGAAATTCTTGTGCTATTTGGAATATGTTGGTAAAATAAAGTGAAAGATTATCCATAACTACTCTACTGTAATAGAGACTTTATGTGGCTTTGGATTTTGTTTGGACTTTCTGGGTCAGTCCGACTACCATCATGCTGTGAAAGTCTAATATCCCACCATTTTTTTTTTTTTTTAAAGATTTTTTTATTTATTTATTCCCCGCCCCCAAAGCCCCAGTAGATAGTTGTACTTCATAGCTGCACATCCTTCTAGTTGCTGTATGTGGGACACGGCCTCAGCGTGGCCAGAGAAGCAGTGCGTCGGTGCGCGCCTGGGATCCGAACCCGGGCTGCCAGCAGCAGAGCGCGCGCACCTAACCGCTAAGCCACGGGGCCGGCCCCCCACCATTTTGAAAACAAGATTTTGCAGAGGAGTTATGGTCATTTAAAAATAAAAGAAATATTTTTGGAAATTAGTTACAAAGCAGGTACAGCCATTTGAAATAATAACTGGTAGAGTAGCCATGATGGTTATTTTTTGTAATTACGTGAGTCTCCTTTGTGCCAAGTTGTGACAAGTGAATGAGTATGGCCTAGGCAGTCTGTCCTGTCTCAGTATACTGAAGGCTAATCCATCACTTGATTTCTGAGTGTAATATGTTGGGCTAGCACAAGGCTCTTGACAGTGTGCAGCACATGGTAGACACTCACCAAATACTTGTGATTGTGTGTTTATGAACATGTCTGTCATGCGTGCTGTGCCTCGTAACAGATTACATAAGGACAAAAAGGAATGGTTGGAGTTGAATGAAAAATGTTAGAGATAAACTAGGAAATCTTACTAGGCAGAATTATTTTAAGTAGAATTTTCCCTGCCCTTCAGTTGATGGCATAGAAGTAATGATACCATTAATAAAAAAAAAAGGCAAAACAAAACTATCATTCACTGTGGTTTAGATTTTTGTTTACAATGGACACATTCTTCAGCATGAAAGACTCTTTAGTGCTTAAAATATAGATTATCAGAATTGAAGGAATCATCAAAGGTCTTGTCTTAGATGAATACTGGGTCTGACTTCAGTTCAAAAGCAGGTTCAGGAAAAACAAGAATAGTTTTCCCTGTTTGGTTATTTGATTCGTTGTCTGTTCTTTTGTCCATTTATTTCTTTATTTATTAGTTCATTTAACAAACATTATTGAACATCTGCTGAGTCATTGGCAGCTAAGTGCTGGAGATTCAGAAATTAAGTATACAAAATTTTCATCCTTAGGAAACTTACAGCTAGAAGGGAGACTCACAGAAGTAAAATTAAGCAATAATATAAAATAATGTACTAGGAACTAAAGTAGAAGTTTCTAGAGGGTGTGTGGGGGAGGATGATACCTGATGTCTGAGATGCTTTCTTGGGGAGATGTCATCTACCCTGAGTCTCAGAGGAGTGTGGGCAGATGGGGGTTACTGCGCATTCGTGGAGCCAACCCGGAAAGAGATCAGCATTTGTGAAGGCCCCGAAACGTGGATGATCAGATAACGGCTAGAAAACCATCAGTTCGTTATGAATAGAACGTCTTGCTTAAAGGAGAGAGAGGGGTATGTGTGTACAGGGGCTGGATCATTAACAGTCTAATACAGTCTAATTCAGTCTTCAGAAGGACTTGGTCATTGAGCACTGCTGACTCATTGAACCATTTTAAGCAGGACAGTGATATGAGATTTGTGATTTAGAATTCCATATTCATGAGATTGGAATTTTATTAAAGAAGGTTAAAAATGGAAGCAGGGAACCAAGAAATCGTTGCATCTTTCCTTTCCACTTGAGAAAGAAGGAGGCTCTGTCGTAGACACCATAGCAGTGGCAGTGGAGACAGAGATTACCAGAGTCAGAGTCTGCATGGCCGGCTGGCTGGTTAAATTTGGGTGAAGAAGGCAAGGGAGGAGGAATCCAAGGACTCTTGGTTTTCTGTCCTGGGCCAGCAGGGCTGTCAGTCACAGAAAGAGTTGCATGCTTAAGGGAGAAGAGGATAAGTTGTTTGGGGCATGTTGATTTTCAGTTCTGAGGGAACATTTGTATCTTCTAAATGAAAAAGGAAAGAGAAATGTTGGTTTATTTCATATGTTATAAAGTCACTAATACCAGCAGCATTAAAAATCTCTGATAGTAACCAGTGCCTGGATCTTGGTTTCTAATATCATTCTTAAATAAAACGAACCAGGGCTCCTTGGAAAAATGCATGATTTGAGGGAGGGGAGGGAAAATATAAGATGAGCGTAGAGCATCTTGTAGTGCTAGAAAGGAGGAAGTGCTCAAAAAACCAAACGGTGAGGCTCTGTCAGAGGATTGCAAGAGCCAACTGAAGGAGCTCCCGGTGACTAATCTGGGACAATTTAAGAAACAATAAATAACATAGTTTTAGATTACAGCCCAGAGTATAGAGTAAATGTCCGTGAGTCCATACTAATATAAATAATAAATAATTGAATAAATAAATATGTGGAGGAGAAGTGACAAATCTCCTATACAGAAGAATTCCAAACAGTTTGTGTAGCTGCAGCACCAAAGGAGGCGGAGCATAAAATCTCACCCCTCAAGCATGGGCTATACTTAGTGACTTGTTTCCAGAGAATGGAAAGGGGGTATGGGGAGAAAGTAACTTGACAGTAGGAGAAATCCGACAGACACTACCTTAACCGGGTGATCCAGGTCAGCATCAACAATGGTAAGTCAGGGCCGGCCCGTGGCTTGGCGGTTAAGTGCGTGCGCTGTGCTGCCGGTGGCCCGGGTTCGGATCCCAGGTGCGCACCGACGCACCGCTCCTCTGGCCATGCTGAGGCCGTGTCCCACATACGGCAACTAGAAGGATGTGCAGCTATGACAGACAACTATCTGCTGGGGCTTTGGGGGAAAAATAAATAAATAAAATCTTTAAAAAAAAAAAAACAATGGTAAGTCATGTTGATGGGACGTACCCTTGACAGGATCTGGTGATATGAGAATGGCACTTCACCTCTATTGGCGTCCTCCCGGAAACCCATAACCCCGATCTAATCCTGAGAAAAACAGATAATTTCCAGTTGAGGGACATTTTACAAAATTGGACCAAACTAGTAATCTTCAAAACTGTCGAGATCATCAAAAACAAGGAAAGTCAGAGAAACTGAAACAGCCAAGAGAAGCCTAAGGAGACGTGATGATTACATTGGATCCTGAAACAGAAAAATGACAATAGGGAAAAATTAATGAAATCTGAATAAAGTATAGAGTTTGTTAGTAATAATGTCTCAATATTGATTTATTGGTTGTGACAGATGTACCATAGTAATGCAGGATATTAACAGTGCAGAAACCTGGGTGGGGAGTATTCGAGGATCTCTCTGTACTGTCTTTGCAACTTTTCTGTAAAGTCTAAAACCATTGTAAAATAAAAAATTTATCTCAATTAAAAAAAAAAATGAGGGGCTGGCCCGGTGGCATAGTGGTTAAGTTCATGCGCTCTGCTTCGGCGGCCCGGGGTTCACAGGTTTGGATCCCAGGCACAGACCTATGCACCGCTCATCAAGCCATGCTGTGGCAGGGGTCCCGCATATGAAGGAGAGGAAGATGGGCACGGATATTAGCCCAGGGCCAATCTGCCTCAGCAAAAAAAAAGAGGAGGGGGCCGGCCCTGTGGCTTAGCGGTTAAGTGCCCGAGCTCCGCTACTGGC